TCCCCAGTTTGGAAGTCAAAAACATAGTAACCTTATCATAGAGGTAGCATTAGGACAAACAGCTCTGTATTTGACTTTTGTGATTAAACCATGAGATCACCACCAGTAGTTCACAAACAGCTGTATGTTAGAAAAAAGTTCCCACAAATCCTAGCATTTTGTAGGTAAATATGAGAAAACCTAATTTCAATAAACAGGAGATTTTATTGTTAGACCTGTTCATTTTGTTAGAAAAGTATATTCGGGCATATTCTCAAAGGTGAGTGTTTTTTTTTTTAAAGCACACATGTAACTACAAACTATCCAAAAGTAACTTCAGTTATTCCAGTTTAGAATACTGAAAAAAGTCTCTTTTGAAATATTTGAAGAATCACTACAAAATTGCTTTTACTCAGAATATTAAACACCACAAAATTATAATAATTGTTTAAAGACCTTAGAACTATTCATCTTCAAAACTTAACACTCAAAATATTGGATAACCTTTCCAATTATTTAATCATTTTAGTTTAAACTGTGGAACATTCTTTCTATAGATGTAACTATACCAATTTATTTCAAGACTTTGAATTGCTTTCTATAAACATTACTACAATGTTCAATACTCCTAGAAATATAGAGGGTCTCTCCAAACTGAGGAGCAAAAGACACTGAAATCCTTTGGTCATCTGCAAGAATGTAAATGACCATAAACTGAACAACTGCTATTCACTGCAGTGAGAAACGCATCCTATTTTAGTGACCTGGATACCTCTGAGTTTTCAGTGGTTTTCATGCTATCATGATACAGATGTATTGAAAAAACATGACCAACCAAAGGGAAGGAAAAGGACACGTGGACATACATTGCTATGGGGACACTGCTCAGCACAGTGATTTCTCCTGACTTCTCCTTCCACCCTAAAAGATGGCTCAAGTCCTTCACAGTCCCAAACCTAGAGCAGCAGCGAAGGGGTTGTCACAAGCTCAGCACAGGAGGCAACGTAACAGCTGCGTTGACTCAGTTCCCCTCCCTCCACACAGAAGAGGGGAGCACAGAATCTTAAGTAAGCCGGACTTTATGGTGAAGTAGCTTGAAGGACAAAATAAATTCAACACTTTAGTGCAGAGACACCATCTAAAAGAGAATCATAGGAGAACAAACTAAAAACACTAGGCTGCTTTGATTCGGCTGACACTTATAGCTTTTTTGATGTTGTTGCTGTCTCCTCAAGTGAGTGAATTGTATTTTCCTTTGCCAGCTTACACAAAGTACAAAGCAACATTACAATTTCCTTTTCTGTATTAATTGTGAAATCTCCCTACATGCAAGTGGTTAACAGGTTAAAGGTTTAAATGATGAACAGGTTTGTGACTAGCTTTCTGCACAGGGGTCGCTTCCATTCATAGTGGAAAGATGGGACTGGAAAAGATCAAGTTTGAATAAAGCCGTCAAGGAATTTTGACAATATTCAAATTTTTGCCATACTAAAAATATATATATATTTTAAATTCTGTACAACATAACTAAAGCCCAGAATATCTGCAGAGAAGTTTGGAGAGGGGCTTCAACCATGATTAGGACAGTTTCACTATTAACTGCACATTGTCTCATTTTAGAGTGAAACTCCACAGCCTTGCAAAGAAATGCAAAGACTCCTCTTGTGGCATTTGGGAAGCAGTCCCATAAAAAGCATGTTTAGCAGCCATGCTCTGGCCTGGTAAGAGCCTGGTAAGTGCCAGATACAGCAAGTGTTTGAAAAAAAGTGAAAAAATGGATAGATACAAAGTAAAACAAAAGCTGGGGAGAAATATCATATATAGAACTTCTCTTTCAAAAAAAAGACCAAGAGAAAAGAAAGGTATTCTAAAACCAAAGGTGACAAAGCAATAATTAAAATACCAGTGATTCAACAGCTGGTAAAATTTCCAGAGGTCCTGAAAAGGTAATTGGATTAGTATCCAAAGTCCAGAAAGGGTGTTCGAGTCCAGAGGTACGATCCTGCTCGCATGTAGTAAGCCTTTATATTGCCAGAAAAGCCAAGGCTCAAGCCAAGGCTCAGTGATCTGCAAAGCACTTTACAATCCAGAAGGCTCACTTCTAGTCAAGTGAAAAATCATTCTGACTCAAGCTTGGAACAAGCCACAAAAAAAAGCAAGCTACAGAGCAAAGGCAAGTTTTTGCAGAAACAATAACCATCCACATCCAAAACCAGTTGCTTAGAGCAATGTGGGAACAACTAAGTTTTGAACACAAACAGGTCCATTTGGAAACACACACAAGCTTAAGTGGGAGAGTAGTATCACTGATACTCCCCTTTGTATGCTCAATTGGCAGTCCTCCCATATTGAGGCTACTACCTTGACCATAAACAGGCCAATGAAAAAAATTCCTTTAAATTCCTTTTAAACCTCTTATTTCATCATCATACCTGTCAGCCTGATCAGAACACGCACAAGGAAATGGTGTCGCTTATAGACTGCAGGTCTGTGAAATCCAGATTAACCCCTTCAGAAACTCTGGCACAAAGTACATGTACAGTCCTCTGAGACACCATAATTCTTTGACATCTACACACAAAACACTACAATAGCAGCATGGCCGTAGCTATGTATTTTCATCCAAAATTATTGGAATAAGGACTGACCCCTCAATAGCAAGAAACTGGAGGTGTTCGGCAATGCTTCTAACATTTAAAAGGACTCAAAAACACTCTGACAGCAGCTGCTCTCTAGCACATCTCCAGCACAGACCATCAAATCCAGTCCTTTCAAATCTGGTCTGATCATAATGTTGTAATCCAGCAGTCAAAACTTTCTAGTATGTTCTACTTCATTGAATCTATTATGTCTAAGGAGAAAAGTAACAGACATTTGGTTTGAAATAGGCCTTTTATATGACAAAAATCTTGAAGCTGTAAGCAACAACTAAGATGGAAGTACCACCTGAAAGGAAATAATATCATCATGAAATCAAAGGATGAAATTGGTGGACACATTCTGCTTTTTTCTGGATTCCCTGAGGATCAAGAGGTCAAAATAACACGGGAAATACCGAAGTTCAAGGTAGACCTTAAGAGAACCATATGCTGGATGACTTGCTAAGGAAGTATAAATTGTTCACATCTTTCAAGCAGAAAAAGTGTTGATGAATTTCTTTTTATTAGAATTTAGCTTCTATCCTCAACCTTTTGGTCTTTATTAGTAGTATGGGTGGGGTACTGTTTAGGAACAAAGGCATCATCAACATATGAACAATTCTGTCTTGATTTCAGGAGCAGGTAAGTGGCACTATTGTGACAGAAGAGGGCTTCTGCTATTTATGCCAAGTGTTTATTGACTCTTAGAACGAGAGCAATGAACAAAACATACAACACTTCTTCCAGCCTCAGCTCTCGATGACTTACTAGCGTATTTTTTCCCCCTCTCCTTTTCCTGACTCAAGGAGCAGCGCCTCGCTCACGTGAACAGCCCCTGTTAACTGTTTTCAGAGCAACCATCTAAGGAAGCCTGAATCAGATGTTTCTTAACAACATCTTCATACCACTGATGAAAACATGTGCTGCAAAGCAAAGAATAAAAGATGGAAAATGGAGAAGCAAAGACAACTCTGATGCCAAAAAGGCCCTCAAGACCAGTTTAAAAATGAACAAGTGAAGTGACAGTGAGTTCACTTTGGTGAGCTGCTGATATGGCTGCCCTAGCCAGCGTGCTTTTAATGGTTATTGACATAAAGTCCTATTTAGGGTGCCATTCACTGGAAGTCTGGACCCCAATCTAAAGCAGCAGCTCCCATTTAGTTAGAAGATTAGTCTTGCATGAAACAAAGCAAGAGAATTACAGGAAATTGGAAATCATTGCAGATTCATTCTAGTGGAATGGTCAAGTTCAGAAAGAGAAGCAATGGGACAGGGTAAGAGCACTTCTCTTACACTACTCAGTTTTCACATGGGAGAAGTCCCAATAACGCCTCTGAATCTCTCACTGGACACCAGAAAAGAAGGATTCATTGGAAGTGATAAGTGAACAATGATAACATGGTGGAAACATCAGAAGGACACTTGTTTATAAAGTGGCTGGCAGACGGTTCACTTTTTTCCAGTAAGAGCTACTGTTACAGAAAACACCACTACATCACCTCTCAGGCTGGCTGTGCTTCTCAAAAGAAGATTAAGTGAATAAGACTGGCAAAAAATGCAGGGTTGAATATATTAACATCAGAAAAACACTTAAACTCACTGCACATGAGCTCAAGACCAGTGGGAGGCTGCACACAGTGCCAGGGCCCATCTGTACTGTTACGGAGACTCCCATTTATGCCATCAACAGTTCCAGGAATATCAGCAATATCCTAGACAGTCCTGGAGGCACTTAATGGAGATGGGCAGATAACTATAGTTCAGCTACTCTCAACTGCTGCGCACAGAGATGCTGAGGCAGACAGAGCTCTCTGGGCAGCATAAGACTGCAGCTCCCATTGCACGAAGAAGAGAAATGATGGCTATCACAAGGCAAGGTCACCTAGGGATGGAAGTGATGCTAACTTTCTGTATGGAAGAGCCTCTGGAAATCGGAAATTAAAATTTAATTGCTCGCTGGATCTTTGGGACTGGCAGAGGTTCACTCAAAAAAGAAACGCTGCAATGTAACTGACCCAATTTTTGCATTTGCTCTCACTTCTGGCAACTGAGCATAGATAAGAAACATGAAAGTTGCCCAGGTCAAGCCTCTAATCAAGTATGGTATCCTTACATAGCCTTTATCTGATAAAGCAATCCTTTTCAGGCTTCCTACATAAGAACATCGGTAGGGTTAAACCGGCCTGTGGCACATAGAAGCTATGTGACAGATTTGTTCCAGAGTGCTTGTTTCACAAACTTTCTTCTACTCATCTGTCAAAGGAGTAACTTAAAACTTTTAAAGTGGAACTACAGTTCTTTAAAACACTCATTGAAAGCTGGACACTTTGTGCAATACTTAGCAAAAAAATAACAGAAAATAAAAAACAAAACAAAATTTGAGCAAAACAAAATCAAATTTAATGTTCTTAAATGCAAAAGTAAAAACAAACAAAAAACACAAAAAAGCAAAAGAAAATTAACAGAAACAGAACAACTCAAAGTTTCAAGGCAGTCTGCAGAAAACTTGGGGGATTAATCTTTAAATCTACAAATCAAAGGTTTTTTGTTAATATCTAACTTGCAAGAAGTAAGTACTTTTCTGCTGAGTGTTCAATAAGTAAAGCTAGTTGTCAAAACAAAATCCTATTAAAATAGAAAAATCTAGCACTCATTAGAAGGGATGCGAGAAATACAATGCTCAAATGTTTATAACTTTTTTTTCTTTACAAAATAGAACTACCAAAGGAATTCAAACTATAATGATCTTTGAAAATGAGTAAGTATCTTGCTGCATTATAATGTACCAGTAAGTAGTGCACCATGCATTAAATATTTGGACAGAAGAGATTCAGTTTGATAAAGTAGCAACATATATTCACACTTTTTTGGAGTTTCATTTTGACTCTGAAATCTTCCCGGAGTTTCTTTGAAACTCTTTGGTCCATTCCTATTACAAAGTGGGCTTTAAAAGTAATGTTTCTAAAACCTTTTAATTTGACAACTTGGCCACTGTTCAGCGTGCAACTTACCTCATCAATGGTGTTAAAAGTTATGCTGGCATGCTACTACTTACAAGACCTTGACTTTATAAAGCCTAATCCTCAACTATTATGTAGCAATGGATATTAATTGATAAGGCATTTTACTCTCAACTAAAACATTAGTATTTCTCAACTTTTCTTCCATACTATTGAGTCTGGGGTAGAGGAGAAGGTCAAGGGAAAGGGTAGGAAAAACAACAACATAAAACAAACAAGAAAACTAATGGATTCAGCCTGATAGTTTTAAAAAATTCCAGTTTTTGCAGACAACATTCAATGGAACAAATGTTAGTCTCATAAGTGAAAGCATGCTTCAATTTTACCACCATCCAGAGGGTCTAGTTAATGCAATCTACTTAAGATTTCAGGGGATTTTTAATATGTTTTAAATGAAATAACTTAAAGGAACTTAAAATTGGTCTAACATTGTGGGATTTCAAACATTTGAACATGTCAGTTGCATCCCAGAATATAAAACCTTTTTCACTTCTCATTTAGACTAAGACAAACACTTGTGAAAATTGGCGCAAAATGAGTTTTACACTAACAAAAATGTTTCAACTTCTGTCACTCAATTATCTATTCCATACAAAAAGCACGAGCAAGTTATTTGTGGGACTTGTTGGTTTTGAAGGAAACCTGTAAGATTTTGTCCCCCAGGCGGTAGCCATTAAGACTTGCTATGGCCATTGCAGCTTCTTCATAGTTTGTCATGGTCACAAAACCAAAACCTTTGCACTTGTTGGTGTTGAAATCTCGAATAACTTTCACATTGGTAACCGCACCAAAGGGGCCAAACATCTGCCAGAGGATTCCCTCATCAGCATCTTGACCAAGGTTGTAGATGAAGATACACCAGCCAGAAGATGCGTTTCCTGGAACATTTACACCAGAAAGCCCACTCATGTGATCTACACCCATAGGAGAGAACCTAGCAAATAAAAAGCACAATATTTCATGTAAAAGTTCAATTCAGTTAAACAAATTAACTTGAATGGGAAGCAACTGAGAATGAATATTTTCTACATGGACATCAAAATCGCCAGAAAGAAACGTTTCCCCATTCAAATTGACAATCAGATTGACAGCTGCCAGGAAAAAAAAAAGTTAAATATTCCAAGTACTTTTCTTTATCGATAGGGAACTATAATTAGAAATAGGTAGGCAACAGAACAGTTGCAAGGCAAGATTATATAATCACCATCACATGGGACACAGATCGATCTTTGAAACTCAGCTACACTGTTAAGATTGCTCCCTGGCATCAACACAGAATTATTTGAGTGCAGAGTAACAGAGACCTCCCTGCCCAGAGGCCCCTAGCTTGCTTCAAGCCACCCTCAGGCATCTCCCACTTACTTCTCTCAAGGAGTTTTCATCCAATATCCTCCTCATCCTGCATTGGGGACTCTTAAGTCAAAGGTTTGTTGTTTTCCTTTTTTTTTTTTTTTTGCAGGGAGTATTTTTGTGCCTTTTTTTTTTTGGTGGAACAGAACGAAGCCAGCTCCCTTTTCCACCATACAGCAGCAGGTCCAGGCAAACACTCCCAGTACCACCAGGCTACTAAATCAACCACAGGCATGCTTAGCCTCAGCTACTAGGTAGCAAAGGAAATATTAGCACTTCCTCAGTAAAATCTCTGTAGCTAGGAAGCCCCATATCTCTATCTACAGAGGCTAAATTTTTGTTTATTTTGCCTTAAATGTGTGTTAAGCAGATATGCTAACAGCAGTAACCCTGAAATATAAAAATAGCAAAACACATCTCTGTATCCAGCTTTATAATTTAAGCAGGTGTGGTGATCTTTTTATTTTTACACTAACTTTATACTAGGAAAACTTATCCAACTTTACTGAAATAGGCTGTTTTTTAAAATCACCTACCCACTCTTCTCAAATCCAGCCTCCAGCAATAGCATCCCAGCAACATTTCTGATTAACAAAAGCCAGAAGTTTTCCTTATGTCTTGCTTTGCATTATTTGTTTTTCTCCTATACCCCCACATTTCTAATTCCCCTTTAACCTTCTACTTCTGGTCTGTGTCCTAGAAATTCAAAGCTTTAGGAAATTCAAAGCTTTAGAATATTTTAATGTAATATTATGGTTGCACAGCTAAGCACTCAAAGATCAGGAAATGTGAAAGTTAAGGTTAAAAAACTCAATTTGATCCCTTGTGCTTATGTATTATTTAAAAAATGTGAGGTCACATGATTGTAGAAATATAATTATACTATACCAGGGGTTCCCAAACTGTGGTGTACCACTGGTGATATGCAAACCACTTAAAAGCGGTACACGGGCTGCTCTCTGCCAAGAACATGGCGGTGGCAGTTCCTGATTCTCTGCTGACCTGGAGAAAACAGGGAATGGATGTCTGGGCAGTGAACACTGCATTAAGCGCCAAACACTTCCCACTGTGACTTTTTCCTGCCCTGCCTAAAGCTAGGAGCTGCTCTTGTCTTTACATAGATGCGAGGGTTAAAGGTAAAACGTATCAGAAGGGAGGGGAGCATGGCTGCAGCAGCACACACATACACACAGGGAAGTCAGCCCACGTTCATTGGGGTACTTAGGTAAATGCACTCATACCAGAGAACCACTCTGTCCTCGTCTCCCCCACCCTAGGCTCTCTGGTGCTCCAAGAGAGCTCATCTCCCTGGACACCTGAGCTGATAAACCCTCTTGTACCG